ATTGTTGAGACATCGTTTCATTCGCAAAAAGTCAATGTTTAGGGTTCGTTATGAGCAGATGGACGACCAGACCACCTTTGGTTCCCAAAAGACGGCGCTACATGCCACACAGCGAAAGAAGCAATCAATTTTTAGGAGGAAACTTTTGGTGTGTACATTGTATCGCGAAGTGGACCTGTGGCGTGACCTTTAAGTTTGTGCGATTTACCACCGAGAAACTATTTTTCATGGGTTTATCTGAAGTCGCAAATAAGTCTGATACGATTGATGTCTTGCAAGCGAATATTAGGCGCGTTACTGCTACAAGACGTGGTCGAAAAATTGAGCTTCTAGGCTGGAATTTATTCGAAATAATTTTTAAAATATTAGATCTAAATTCATGGCTTTCCCATTAAATTATAAGCGTTTTATTTTTTCTTGAAAACTACTTTATGTTGCCATAACACAAATTTAATACATTATGTGGTTTTTTGTTATGACATATTGTTGTACATTTCATTATTTTGTTAGATTTTTGGTTGTTCCGCAGTTTTATAGGCTTTTAGAGCTCGATAAATTCCTTTCTTGAAGCATATTCTAAAGCAATTTTTTGTTAGTGTACACACTGTATTAATTTTAAAAACACACACATTTTTCAAGTACCAACCGACAAAAGTACACAATATTTAAATTGTTAAGCAAATAACAATAAAACTGTTGCAATTGCAGGCCGATCAAGGCAAGTAAACATCCGAGAAAAAATATAAAACACCGACCAATGGCGTTGGCTTCGATGTACTCCGATTGCATTTACAAGAAGGGAAAGCAAAAGGTATAGGCGGCACAAATTAACGAAAATGTTTACAATCTCGAGGTGGAACAGAACACTAAACGCGGAAATGACGAGAAGTTTACACACACACATACACACCTTAAACTTCAGTTAAGGTGCAACAATAGGCAAATAATTTAGTACAAGACAAATCGAAATCGAATATTAGTTAATTCACAACACGATCGACGTTAGCTCGTGAAATCGACCGCGCATAACAAAGTTAACAAACAAACTGAATAGCAGTGGTGAGTTGCTCCCGGCTGAATGTGCAAAGTTGTTTGCTGCTCTATCCACTGTTAACTACATACTGGACAACACATTGGTAGTGGTAGTGGCTCACACAACTCCACACAAATACACAAGCATTGCAAGAGTTGGAGAGATGATCATTTGCTTTGCGCCAAGAGCCCCAAGAGCGTGCAAGAGAGCAGACACTCTCTGAAATACTACAGCCTACAGCTGAAACAAAAGCACACAAACGTGTATGTATGGACTACAAACGTTGGGAGTTGGAAGTTAATTGAGAAAAGAACAATTTTGTTGCAGCAGAACGAACATAAAAACAACAACAAAAACTATTAACGAAGCAAAGTATGGAGACATTGTTTCAATTAGCATTGCTGCAATTGCTACCTACTGTGTGCCGCGCATTGCGTAGGAAACACACAGCAAGCAGTCGCCGACAGCAACAATTGCACATAAATGCAGAGCGTCGCAATGCGTTTGCGTTGGTGTATTGTAGCTGTGGTATGTTGGTGGTGTTGAGTTGCCATATCGACATGAACATAAATTAAATAAATATAAAATAAAGACATTTAAATTTGAAATTAAAATTAGATTAAATTAAATTAAATAAAACAAAATTAAACGAAATTAAATTAAAAATAAATTTGATGACATAAGATAAAATTAAAGTTTATATATATTAAATAAAAATAAAAAAATAAAAAATTTAAAATTAAAAAGAGTAAAAGATAAAGTATAATAAAATAAAATGATAAAAGGCAAGATAAAAAAAACGAAATTAACTTAATTTTAATAAATAAAATAAAAAAAGTAATATAATGCAGCAAAAAATAAAATAAATTTAATCAAATATAATATTGTAAAATAAAACAAAATAAAAAATTAATCTAATAACCTAAAATGATATGAATAAAATAAAATTGTATTAATTAAATTGAATAATATAATAAAAAAAAAATAAATGGTTGAAAACTTAAATGAAACAAGAATAATATAAAATGTTGTTAAATTAGATTAAATTGCACAAAATTAAAATAAATTACAGTGAATTGCATTAAATCGAATATAATGAATCAAAAAAGAAATGAAATCGCACAAAATTAAATTGGCTTGAATTCAACGTAATATATTAAATTAAACTAAAAAAAAAAATAGTCAAAACCAAATATAATAAGCCAGAATAAAATGAATTAATAGAATGAAATAAAATAAAATAATAGAAAATGAAGAGTTGTTGTTGTTGTTGTTGTAACCGCAAAAATATATGCCCCAAAGTACCTTTTGGGGAATGTTGCGGGCGTGACAGTCCTCGGCAGGATAAAAATCCGGGTCGTTCCGGTATAAAGACCCGACTGTCGCGGAAACTGTTGGATTTGAGTCGCCTCTTACGACAGGCATGTTTAACGCGGATAAGTCCTTGAACCGCTTACCAACAGGGGAGAAGAGGAGCTGTCTTCCCATGCCATGCTGAAGACTTTATACCATTGAATACCGTTTCAAATTTATGGTACTTCATTTTAGGACTAAATATTGGCTCTCATGTCTGCAAAATTGGTTGGAGGGCGTTGTATGATCAAGTTTTCCGATTTCCATTATTTTTGTGGTCAAGTTTATATGTATTTATATATTTGTATGGAGTATCAAATTTTACGCTTTTAGAAAGATTTTTGACCCAAAACCGGTATACGATAAATTCCTCCAGTTTGAATGTCTTTTTCTGAGAAATTAGTAATTGTATAGAAAAGAAGTATTAGGAGGAGGAGGAGAATTAATCTGAGCTATTTTTATCGAAAAACTAACTGTTTAGCCAAAAAATCCAGCAGTCAAATTCCTTAAATTCTTCATTAAGGATATATTGAATACAAATACGATTATAATCTATTACACTAAGAAAAATATATGTATGTATGTATGTACACATTGTGTAAAAAGCACAGCAAAAGCATTTTAGCCCTCGTTCAGACATTTTTTAGGCTTGGCTTCTCATCTCCTTTTTGAATAACTTTTGCGTTTTTGGTTATTAAAATTTTGATCAGCACAACAATTTCAAAATTCGATTCAGTCGTCAACAACGCTGTCATAACAAAATGAATAATTGCATAATAAATGTCAACAGATGGCAAGAGGCACCAGAAATATTTTTTTTTTATAATTTCTCAGCACACTTACTTTACTGCATATTACATACATACGTGTATTTACAAATATTTTTATAACATTAATATAAATGTAAGAGTATAGTGACTGCAAAATTATTTCAAAATTTTTTCAATGAAAATTTGTATTATTAAATGACGATTATTTAATAATAACTAACTAATAGTAAAAATATGGTGGTAATGTTCCTTCACATGTATGTATTGTACTACACCCCACCACAATCTATGGAACAATATACATATACGTAAAAAAAATATTTTTTTTGGCCCTGACGTCGCTTTAACTGTACTTTTTTATACAAATATTTACACATTACTTATATTTGTTGCTTGTATATGTGTACACACACACACGATCCCACTTAATAAATATTTGTCTACACCTTATTCTCAATTCATTTTATACCTAAAATTATTAAAAATAAAATATATTGATTAATGAAAATTTTGGTTTCTTGATTGGGTTAAAAAATGTTGGAATTCAGGCGTTAAATTGTCAGCTGACAAAAGGTGTGCCGCTTGTTGTGGCTGTTATTGTGACTACTGTCAGTAATTGTTCTTAATTTATGCGACACGATATTATCCGTTTAATGTCTGCGTGCGAACTCCTGCTGTGCACTTCATGTTTATTCGCGAGTAATATTTTTTTCGACACTCTGACACGTTGACCAAAGATCACCAACATTTGGTTTTAACACTTAAAAAATGATGCAGTGTATATAAATTGTTTAAGAATTCAAAGGTATGTTTGCATGCTCAAAATTGCGAATTTCGTTAAAGAATTTTCTATGCAATGCTTCTAGGATCAACATAAATCTACTGTACAGCTATCGACTAGAGCCGGTGCTATTTAAATAAGAAAAGAAGTTTTCCTATTCAATTAACCAACAAAAGTGCCTTAAAGAACACTTTACCTCGGTAAATAATGGTATCAACCGGAATCGTTTAGAGTTAATCATATGAAAAGCGGTCTCAATGCCTCTGCAACGGCTTGAAAAGGGGACTTCGATTTTTTCCAGTACTACTGCTCATGGAACACCAGTTGCGATAATCATCATTATAAAATGCTGCCATCGGAGCTCATCAAATGTAAATTTCAGGGTCAAAGCAGAAACCTGTCTGGAGCCGGCTGAACCAAACCCGAACAAAAGTTGATAGGAAGAACGATGTTGTCATAAAAGCCACGTGCGTTAGTAGTAGCAGATGAAAAGACGACGCATTTGAAGATTGCAGAAGAGGGAAGATGAAAAGTTAAAATAGAGAAAAGGAAGATCTGTCATTACGTTGTGAATTATCGACACGAACTAAACATTTTCATGAGATAATTTTTAATGAATCGCAGTAAGAAAAATGCCAAAAACGAAGTGTCGATAACTCTTCGGAATGATGTGGAGACCCCGTGTTTAATGGTAATTAAAAACAGGCTTGTTTTGCCCGACAAAATCGATGATATAAAGTCCAGGTAGTTATAGGTTTTAGTAATATTCCAATACATTCTAAATTATATTACGAATTAGACGCTGAACAAATTTTGTACACGATTTTAGTTCGAATAATTCATAGATATCAACAGGAGCTTAGTCTGCTACAGCAAATAAAGCTAAGTGAATTCAATAAGTATTTCGATCGATTCATAGAACGGTGTTTTTCGTTCGCTGATTGAATAACTTAATTTAATTAATATTTTAAGTAATTGAGCCCTATCTTATATTTTAAAGGTTAATCTTATTTGCGACCTTGGCAAGTTGATGGGACAATATTATCATGATGCGAGCTCTTACCTGTTGTTTAAAGCGTTTACTGGCGCTTCTCTTAAGAGTATTACAGTTTGCATTCCTCGCTGCACGATCCACCTCATCGTCTGCAGCTATAACGCCTATACCTTGAGCTGGCATACAACGTTTACTCAGCTCCACCAGTTCCGAAACAGGTTGAACCTATAAAATATCATAAATTAGTATAAAAATTCTTTATTAAATTACTTGCGGCTATAACTTTGCACTTACCTCTACTGTAACCGAATCACCGCTGTTGCGTATCATTTCGATGATCACCTCACGCGACAACTCACTCACCGGTGTACCGTTGACTTTAAGTAAACGATCACCTGGCAACAGACCAGTTGCACCACCACCCGCACCCGGTTCAGCAAATATGACCGGCTTAAATGTGGGTGCAGTAAGCGATTCAGCGCGATCCAAACAAATCGCTTTACGCAAACTAAAACCGAAATCATTGCGTGGCGACTTCTGTCTGCGAATAACAAGCTCTCTCGCCGGCGGTAGTTGTACCAATTTAATCGGTGGCAAAGGTAATTCCACATCCTCGAATGCATGTACACGCGACCATCGATCAATCCCTTGTGATTCACCGATAGGACTCAGCGAGAATGGTGGCGTGGCAAAGGAAGAATTTGTCGTATCTGTGAGACTATCGGCGCTAGGCGAGGGTGAAGTCATCACACGCAAATTACCACTATGATGTTGTGGCAGCTGTGGTGCATAACGTGCTGTAGTGGGTAGAGTCATAGCGCGTTGGATACCGCCATTACCACCTTCGTCACTACGCAGGCTCTCTACAGAGGTGAAGGCGGTCCCACCGCTAGTGTGTGGATTAACGCCTACACTACCGGCGCCACCACCACCAACTGCACCCATGCTACTACGCCCGGTAGCAGTACCACTTATGCTATTACTTCGACTACCATCGAAGGGCAACTCGTTTTGCATTGTATTGCGCATCACAAGCAGTTGCGCTTCGGGCGATGCGATCGTTATCTCCTCATGCACATTGGATATGTTACTGCGTGAACCCTTCAATATGCCACGTTTAGGTGGCTTTGGCGGTACGGGCGGTAGTGAGCGATGCTGGAATAAAAGAGAATAGTGTGATTAGTTATAGCTTGAAAATAATGCATGCATTTTTTGATCTTTTAGTGGTTGAATTTCTACTCAACATTGGGAATTATTTAAATATAATCCTTCTTTACCTAAGTCTCTTCATAGCGTTATTTACTGTGCTCGTAATAAAAAGATATAAAGAGAATCCAGCTATGAGAAAATGCGATTTAGTGCTTAAACTGTCAGGATGGAACGAGTTTAAGTCGTTAGTTCTACAAATAACGGTTAACGAATTTTTTAAGTTGACATCCTGTCAAATCTGTGTTGAATTTTTCGCAAGTGCAACATACGGCAGCATGCGGCATGCCTCTTAAGTCTGTTTGAAGGGAGATACAATAAGCTTTACTTTGAGCACAAATTTCAGTAAACACCGTGAGTTCCATGAGCAACCCAAGATAAGGGCAGTTTTAACTTATTCTGAGCAAAGGACCAGAGCTCATCTCTGCAATAGATGACATTTGGGATTCACTAGTGCCATTAATGAATGGTATTAAATGTATTATTGGTTCTCATTAAATGATGTCCAAGACCTTTCAGTAACATGTTGTTGTTGTTATTGTTGTACCAGTCCACTAACCCCGCTTAGGAGCAATGCAGAGTCTTGGACTAGTCAAGATCATCTAACGGTCGGTTCGGGTAACGTACTCTTTCAGAAGATATGTTGTTGTTATTGTTGTACCGGTCCACTAACGCCGCTTAGGAGCAAGGCAGAGTCTGAAATTAGTCAAGATCATCTAACGGTCGGTTCGGGTAACGTACTCTTTCAGAAGATATGTTGTTGTTATTGTTGTACCGGTCCACTAACGACGCTTAGGAGCAAGGCAGAGTCTGAAATTAGTCAAGATCATCTAACGGTCGGTTCGGGTAACGTACTCTTTCAGAAGATATGATACAGAGAGAAAAAGTAGATTGATGAGTTGAGTTGATAAGTAGGAATTAAACCAGTATAGTCGATCAAGATATTGTGCCAGTACTACTCGGCAACAAGCAACTCGAGATCTTGGTCTTCGCAGCTACAACAACAACAGGTCTTTGTCTGCAATGACTGGTGCGGTATTCCGAGAACGCCATTCACAGGAAAAGAGTTCATAAAAGTGTTAACCGACTCTCGGTGGATGGCGTTTAAAGCTTGACGGTAACTATCTTAATTGCTGTATGCAATTATTGTAGTGAAGAACTCTCACCCTGATGTGTCTTTCGGAAGATTCCACTTCAAATGCCAGTTCTAAAGCTCCAGAGCTTGAACAGTGCGTCCAGCTAGTCTCCGGCATTCAGGGCGATCCATGTGAACACATGATCAATAGGAAAAGTTGATCTCGTCTGACACAAATTGATATTTGGCAAGTAAACTTTTACAGACACAGCTGCGGCAGTAAATTTAATAGGCAAAACACTTTTTCCCATCTAACTAAGATGTCCCTACTCCTGCTTTCCCAACTATTTTTTACCTTTCCATTCCCGCTAGTCGCTGCGTTCGCCAACATGGAATGTATACTGGCAGCACCACCAACAGCACCCGCTCCAGCGCCATTATATCGACTCTCAATGGTGGTCGTCACAGATGCGACAATTTCTTCATTGCCGCGATCCAATTCATAAATACTATCACCTTCACCGCTCAGTTCAGCGCTTAACGCAGCACGATCTATATCGAGTTGGGCAAAGAACTCTGCACTGTAATCTGCTGTAATGCCGCTTGGCAATTTCTCTTTCTCTTTACGGCGACCGCGTATTTTTAACGAGCGTCGAACCTGCGAAAATACAAAAAATAATAAAGATAATTAATTTGCAGAAAGAAAACAACGATTACAAAATTTAAACACGCACCTCATCCAGACGCAGCAGTTCTTCCGTGCTCATACTGCCCGAAAGTACGCCAGCATTTTTAGCCTCTTTACGCAATTTCTTCTCACGTTTGCGACGTTCCTTCTCCTCATCACCGCCACCACTGCTGCCACCGCTCACCGAAGACACGCCCTTTTTCATAAAATTGAACATCTTATGGCTCTTGTGACTGTTGTGATTTCGTTGCAGCAGCAGTTATTGCTATTTGCTATTTGCTAGTTATTGCTATGCTAGTATTTGCTATTCAGGAAGTAAGTGCCAACTATGGAATATATCTATGTGCATATATGTCTGTGTGTGTATATATATTTACTATGTACCGGGGGTGTGTTTGAAGTCGCTCGTGCTGCTTATTTGGGCACAACCGGCAAACTATGCTGGACACAACACATCTGACGGGCAATCAATAGTGTGCGTGTGCCCTGTGCCCTTGCAGACCGACCGCTGCGAGTGCGAGTTCACGCGAACACGAAGGTCAACCAGCTACTTTGTGGCTCGCTTTCGTTGGATGTGCCACTATAATTGCCCCCAAAGATGTGTGTGAGGGTGGCAGTTATTGTTGTTGTGTTCTTTTTGAGCGCCGCACTTCTGCTTTGGTCCTTCTACGCTTCACACTTTAGTAGCACCGACTGTAAAGAAGATGGGATAAATTTAGAATATTTTAATCAAAGGTGTGGCTAATTAATTAATGTGCTTTTATGAACGCTTTGCTGTGTGTATGTATGTGCGCATGTTAATTTTATCACCAACTCTTTATCACTAATCGTCGGAGGAGCCGCGGAGGAGCAGCTGTCTATGCGGCCAGACAGTGAAATTGCATCTGTGCAGCTGGAAACCCTGCCGGTCGCCGGTCGACCAGAGCTTGTTTTGCACTTCAACGGCAGAAAAGCAATGATCACAAAAACAACAAAAACAATATGAATGCTTGATTGCGAAGATACGGAGGAAAATATACTATGATATGTGTTTATATGATATGTACGAGTATGTCGGTCTGTCTCAGCGCAACTGATACAATTTCACTTTTATAATTTTTTGCATTTGTAATGCAATTTTCCACATTAATCCGCCATAGGAGTATCGTCAGTGGTGTCTATGAATGAATTATCATAATTTTTCCTTTATTATTATTATTTCTGTATTATTTATGAGCACAACTGTGATATTTTTCTCGCGCACATACCGTCATAACCTGACATTTCACCGACCGTACCGCGGGGCAACTAGCAAACCAACCATCGAGCCATTCATGCAACGCGCCGTCACTGAAGAACACAACTAATTCGATTTAAGCAGTGCAATTTTCCCGGCAAACTAAGTAACTAGATGAAAATCTAATGAAAGAAACATAAAGCACAAACAAAACGAACGTATAGATAGCATGACACGAGCATCTGACGAACAGCATGTCAAGGAGGAGCGGATCGGGGTAGGTTGCAAGTGCAAGTGTGGCGCTTTTCCACCCACGAGCAGGCATCCATGCGGCTACATACATATGTAAAGGGTGTTATTTTTGGAGACGTGAGGTAATATTTTTTCGAAGTTGTTATTTTTGAAAGCTGTTACTTGATTTATACTCAATTTCTTTTGCCATTTCATAATAAACAGACTAACTTCGGCACAACGTTAGCAAATCGGCAAATTTAATACCAAGACAACGATTCAGTTCGCTCAACGCAACAAGAATTGTAGCTGTGCACATCCATTTTATGGAAGATTTTTTGGAGGGATCTTGTTTTGTGGGTTCGAGGAAGAAGCGTGGGCCCCAAACCGGAATGGCGACCAATTCCGATTTTCACAAAAATATTTCGTTCAACGATGAAACAAACTTTTAGTTGTCGTATTTGGAGTGATGATAATCCAGAAGCCATTACTGAAAGGCCGTTACGTCCTAAAAAAGTGCTTGAGAGAATCATTAGTCTTTCTTTGTTCACGAATGAAGCCAACCATAATCTTACAGTCTATGGGAAACACTATATGTATATACATATAATTGGCGTTTTGTAACCGCTGAAGCGATTTTCGGCCGTGCTAATCCTCCAACTTCTGGCTTTGCGCCTAGCAGTTGGAGAAATCTTTATTTTATTCTAAACGAACGACCGATGGATTTTTTATGTGAAGCTTTTATTTCATGTCAGAAATACACTCGAAGGGCCGAGGAGCGTACGCAATTGGAAAAATTAATTTTCTATAATTTTGGATTTGACCGACATCCAAAATTGGACTCGAACTCCGGACTTCAGAATGGCAGTAGACAAAGCTAACCCTTCTCCCATTGCTAACGCTGTAGAGCCATAATTAATGACTTCTTCGTGACTGAGTTGAAAAATTTTGATGTGGGCGACCTCTCGTTTCAAAAAGATGGCGCTACGTGCCATACAATCAACGAACCGAAATTTTTATAATAAAGTTAAGTTCGTGGAAAATTGCACGTCAGAAAAAAATGCACCCTTCATAAAGCAATAATGATAATAACAATAAAAATAACTGTGACCGAAAGACAATTACCAAAGCTGGTTCGTACAAACGATTTGTTGGTAAATATATACAAATGTATGTAAGAAGGTATGTGAGATGAGGTTGAGAACTACAAATAGCATATCTGCAAGAAGATATATATTTACGTACCAGGAAAAGAGGAAAAATGCTCAATAATATACATATGTACATACATTAGTATATAACATTTTTCCGGCTCGCCAATAACCCACCAAAGTGTACACAAATTCTTTAATATAGACATATAACCGGGTAGACGTGCTGGTCTGGTCGATGGCTTCTTTTGCGAGCAGACAAAAAGACTATCCACCTCCCACCTTGGCCAAATAAACAAAAAAAGACGAGCAAAATTGTGCGAGAGAGAGATACCAGAAACTTGGGAAAAATTACAAAAAGATGAACAGCATACAAAGGAAAACATAACAAAAATTACAACATCAATGAGAAAAACGAAAGACATAACCGCAATAGCAACTTCAATTGGGAAACTGGTGAAAGGCAGCAGAGCGACATCAAAGCTGTTCGCTGACTTGAAGAGCAGAACTCAAGTGGAAAGCATATGACGTGCAAGGAAAACCACGCGCAATTACATGCGTAAAGAGAATAAGAATAAGAGCATCCACAGGGTTATAGTACCATAATCTTTATAAAACTAGAAAAGAGAGCTGTCTTCTGATAAAGGTTTTATATTTCGAGGATTTGAAGGATTTTTCACCCAAAACCTCCTATCTGAACAAAAGGATTGTACAGTCCATCTCGATTCCGTCAAATGGCCGTTTAATTGCACCAGTTTGTGTACCAAGATTGGTGGAAATATCTCATAAACTGAGAGACTATTTTGCGTAGAAACAAGCGGACAGACGGCCATAGCTAAATCAACTGAACTCGTCGTTCTGACCCGATCGGTATAGAATCTGATGGGTTCGGTTTGTCTCTGGTTCACAAAGATTTTTAGAACAATATTAGACAAAGCGGTCCAGCCATTCTTGAACTTTTTTTTTTATCTACTTAATGTGATTAGATTTGAATTGTTTTGATATAAATTTGAACTACAATTTTCTGATCGAAACGATCCTTTGAATGGAAAAACCCTGGCATTTTCTCATCAAGACTTTGTAAAATACGCATTAACAATTTATATCATTGGACTTAGTTTCTTTCGTTACTTCTATTTTTCTCAGATTAGTTAAAGAGGAAATGCAAATGGGTTTGATAGTAAACAAGAACGAAAATTCCAGGTCGTAGGCGTTTTCGTCTATCTAACGAGCAGCATTGACACCAATAATAATGAAATCTAATGAAGAGTCAGTCTGGCCGACAGGTGCGACTTTTAACTGAGTAGGCAATTGAAAAGTAAAGTCCTCTCTAGACGGACCAAAATCAAACTCTAGAAGTCTTTCATCATTCCCGTCTTCCTATATGGAGGAGGCATGGACGATGGCAGGAAGGTTTTGCTAAGATTTACGGTCCCTTGCGCTTCTGCAGCAGCGGGACCCTAGACTATGGAACCAAATGCTATACAAGTAAAATTGTGACATTGATATAGTTCAATGGATGAAGAGACAACGGCTGCGCTGGCTAAGTCATATCGTCTGAATAGATGCAAGTACTCCAGCTTTGAAAGTATTCGATGCAGTACCTGCTGTTGGAAGCAGAGGAAGATGAAGACCACCACTCTGTTTTAAGAATCAGGGTATCAGCCTGGCTTCAATTGGTTATTCAAACTGACGCTAAGCAGCGAACAGAAGGAACGAATGGCACGCTAGTGTTGACTCGGCTGTAATGGCGTTAGAAGAAAATTTTCTAAATTTAAATGATTGAAGTCTTTACTCTTTCTTATTTTAGAGGAATACAAAGAAATGTCTAGAAAAGCGACAATTGTTCGCCAATAGTAAATGAAAATTCGGCACGTTAATTTATTTGAAGCATAAAGTCATTGACCTCTATATAAATCCACTATTTAATAAAAGGTATATCTCTTAATGAATTTGAAATGAAAGAAATGACCGACAAACAAATATTAACGGTAGACATTGTTTCGATTCGAAATTAGTTGAAACAGGAACACATGAGCCCATTACAAGCTCACCCCTAATTTGGTAATTCCACTTCATATACCAAGCGCTCGTTAAACACTAAGGATATAGCTTCAAAATGTTGCGTTGATATTTGACCCTCCTTGCCAATTTGGAAATACGCGATTTGGGAGAAACCACAGGTTCCAAAGAAAGCGGTAATAGAAGGGAGGTTAATCAGCAGCGTACATATGTAGAATATAAATGCTTACATACACTCCTGGATTACATTGAGTTTCCGAATGCCAATGAAACGTTAAGAAAAATCATTAAATATACTTGTTTCCCACACTTGGGGTCAAATGAAAATACTGAACTGGACGAGCAATCTTTCTTCTCTGTGCTGACATAGAATTCACAATATTACGGGCAGGTCTACAGGTCTTTCTCCACCTGGCATTTACAACGGAGTGAAAGTCTTTCTCTTTTCTGCTTCCACCGATTGCTAATGCATCGAAAACTTTCAAAGCTGAAGCATTCTTATCCATCCGTACCAAGTAACCTAGCCAGCATAGCCGCTGCATCTTGCTTTGCTGAACTATATCAATGTCGCCGTTGCTATGCGAATTAAAACTTTTGCAAAAGTTTTCTCCCGAAAACTTCTAACGCGGGTTCATCAGATGCTGTCATTGCCCACAGTTCTGCAACATACAGAAGGACGGGTATGATGGGTGACTAACAGAATTTAGTTTTTATTCATCGGGAGAGTATTTTACCAGATTTGTAGATTTATAAAATTATCTGCGAGTGACAAGAGATCTTGTCTTCGTTCACAACCAGATCCATTCGCTTCCTTAACCAGTTTTGCAGCTCGTATTGTTTTCTCCAGCAATAAATTAGAGAAGTCACACGATAAGGAATCACCTTGCTTGAAACCTCGTTTGGTATCGAACAGCTCGGAGAGGTCCTTACCAATCCTGAACGAGCTTTTGGTGTTGCGCTTAACGTCAGTTTAGATATCCGTATAAGTTTCGCGGAGATATCGAATTCAGACAAAGCGGCAACATGCAGGCAACATCTTTTAGCGCAGCCAAAGGCTGCTTTAAAATGGACGA